GTATATATATACCCCCCATATCCCCCCCAGTATATACAGTCCGGTCCGTATATATACCCCCCATATCCCCCCCAGTATATACAGTCCGGTCCGTATATACCCCCCATATCCCCCCCAGTATATACAGTCCGGTCCGTATATACCCCCCATATCCCCCCCGGTATATACAGTCCGGTCCGTATATATACCCCCCATATCCCCCCCCGGTATATACAGTCCGGTCCGTATATATACCCCCCATATCCCCCCCGGTATATACAGTCCGGTCCGTATATATACCCCCCATATCCCCCCCCGGTATATACAGTCCGGTCCGTATATATACCCCCCATATCCCCCCGGTATATATACAGTCCGGTCCGTATATATACCCCCCATATCCCCCCCGGTATATACAGTCCGGTCCGTATATATACCCCCCCATATCCCCCCCGGTATATACAGTCCGGTCCGTATATATACCCCCCATATCCCCCCCGGTATATACAGTCCGGTCCGTATATATACCCCCCCATATCCCCCCCGGTATATACAGTCCGGTCCGTATATATACACCCCCATATCCCCCCCAGTATATACAGTCCGGTCCGTATATATACCCCCCATATCCCCCCCCCCAGTATATACAGTCCGGTCCGTATATATACCCCCCATATCCCCCCCAGTATATACAGTCTGGTCCGTATATATACACCCCCATATCCCCCCCGGTATATACAGTCCGGTCCGTATATATACCCCCCATATCCCCCCCCAGTATATACAGTCCGGTCCATATATATACCCCCCCATATCCCCCCCAGTATATACAGTCCGGTCCGTATATATACCCCCCATATCCCCCCCCCAGTATATACAGTCAGTCCGGTCATATATATACCCCCCATATCCCCCCCGGTATATACAGTCCGGTCCATATATATACCCCCCATATCCCCCCCCCCCAGTATATACAGTCCGGTCCATATATATACCCCCCATATCCCCCCCCCAGTATATACAGTCCGGTCCATATATATACCCCCCATATCCCCCCCGGTATATACAGTCCGGTCCGTATATATACCCCCCATATCCCCCCAGTATATACAGTCCGGTCCGTATATATACCCCCCATATCCCCCCCAGTATATACAGTCCGGTCCATATATATATATATACCCCCCATCCATATCCCCCCCCCCCAGTATATACAGTCCGGTCCGTATATATACCCCCCATATCCCCCCCCGGTATATACAGTCCGGTCCGTATATATTACCCCCCATATCCCCCCGGTATATACAGTCCGGTCCGTATATATACCCCCCCCCCATATCCCCCCCGGTATATACAGTCCGGTCCGTATATATACCCCCCCATATCCCCCCCAGTATATACAGTCCGGTCCGTATATATACCCCCCATATCCCCCCCAGTATATACAGTCCCGGTCCATATATATACCCCCCATATCCCCCCCAGTATATACAGTCCGGTCCGTATATATACCCCCCCATATCCCCCCAGTATATACAGTCCGGTCCGTATATATACCCCCCATATCCCCCCCAGTATATACAGTCCGGTCCGTATATATACCCCCCATATCCCCCCAGTATATACAGTCTGGTCCGTATATATACCCCCCCATATCCCCCCCAGTATATACAGTCCGGTCCGTATATATATACCCCCCATATCCCCCCCAGTATATACAGTCCGGTCCGTATATATACCCCCCATATCCCCCCCCGGTATATACAGTCCGGTCCGTATATATACCCCCCATATCCCCCCCGGTATATACAGTCCGGTCCGTATATATACCCCCCCATATCCCCCCCGGTATATACAGTCCGGTCCGTATATATACCCCCCATATCCCCCCCCAGTATATACAGTCCGGTCCGTATATATACCCCCCATATCCCCCCAGTATATACAGTCCGGTCCGTATATATACCCCCCATATCCCCCCCCAGTATATACAGTCCGGTCCGTATATATACCCCCCATATCCCCCCCCAGTATATACAGTCCGGTCCGTATATATACCCCCCATATCCCCCCCCGGTATATACAGTCCGGTCCGTATATATACCCCCCATATCCCCCCCGGTATATACAGTCCGGTCCGTATATATACCCCCCATATCCCCCCCGGTATATACAGTCCGGTCCGACAGTCCGTATATATACCCCCCATATCCCCCCCGGTATATACAGTCCGGTCCGTATATATACCCCCCATATCCCCCCCAGTATATACAGTCCGGTCCGTATATATACACCCCCATATCCCCCCCAGTATATACAGTCCGGTCCGTATATATACCCCCCATATCCCCCCCCAGTATATACAGTCCGGTCCGTATATATACCCCCCACCCCATATCCCCCCCAGTATATACAGTCTGGTCCGTATATATACACCCCCATATCCCCCCCGGTATATACAGTCCGGATATATACCCCCCATATCCCCCCCCCCAGTATATACAGTCCGGTCCATATATATACCCCCCATATCCCCCCCGGTATATACAGTCCGGTCCATATATATATACCCCCCATATCCCCCCCCCCCAGTATATACAGTCCGGTCCATATATATACCCCCCATATCCCCCCCCCCCAGTATATACAGTCCGGTCCATATATATACCCCCCATATCCCCCCCGGTATATACAGTCCCGGTCCGTATATATACCCCCCATATCCCCCCAGTATATCCAGTCCGGTCCGTATATATACCCCCCCATATCCCCCCAGTATATACAGTCCGGTCCGTATATATACCCCCCATATCCCCCCCAGTATATATGATGGATCTGGGTGGACAGTTTCCTCCTTCCTGATGCTTTGCCTGCAGTCTGGAACCCATGGACATGACCAAAGACCGGGTTTCCTCCTGTCTGATTCTGTGTCAGGCTCTACCTGCACTTATCTTCAGTTGTTCTTTGGGGGTCTTTCTGCCTTTAGTTTTGCCTTCAGCAAGTGAAATGCTCAGTTGTTGTTGAGATCAGGTGACTCGGCCATTGCAGAATATTCCACTTCTTCTCCTTCCTCCTGGGTTGCTCTTGCAGTGTGTTTTGGATCATTGTCCATCTGTACTGTGAAGCCGTCCAATCACCTTTGCTGCCGTCCAATCACCTTTGCTGTATTTGGCTGAATCTGGGCTGACAGTATATCTGTAAACACGGCAGAATTCATCCGGCTGCTTCTGTCACATGATCAGTGTGTCACCTGTAGGGGGTGGACCCTCTGATCACATGATCAGTGTGTCACCTGTAGGGGGTGGACCCTCTGATCACATGATCAGTGTGTCACCTGTAGGGGGGCGGACCCTCTGATCACATGATCAGTGTGTCACCTGTAGGGGGGCGGACCCTCTGATCACATGATCAGTGTGTCACCTGTAGGGGGCGGACCCTCTGATCAGTGTGTCACCTGTAGGGGGCGGACCCTCTGATCACATGATCAGTGTGTCACCTGTAGGGGGGCGGACCCTCTGATCACATGATCAGTGTGTCACCTGTAGGGGGGCGGACCCTCTGATCACATGATCAGTGTGTCACCTGTAGGGGGGCGGACCCTCTGATCACATGATCAGTGTGTCACCTGTAGGGGGGCGGACCCTCTGATCACATGATCAGTGTGTCACCTGTAGGGGGGCGGACCCTCTGATCACATGATGGAGGTCACAGCAATAGATCCCAGATACAAATCCCGCACTTAGAATCCACTCCGGACCTTCTTCCAGCTTCATGAAGAAATAACCAAGGGGTAGCCCACACCTGGCCAGCAAACAGCTTTTCATTCCATTGTCCAGTTACTTTTGGACCCTTAAAAAAGGGGGGATGGCTACTGTAAGAGCTGTAATATACATGGATTATGGATGGGATTATGTGGACTATAAATGGTATACATTGATTATAGATGGGATTAAGTGGATTATTGTTGGGATTATGTGGATTATGGATGGGATTATGTGGATTATGGATGGGATTACGTGGATCATGGATGGGATTATGTGGATCATGGATGGGATTACGTGGATCATGGATGGGATTACGTGGATTATGGATGGGATTACGTGGATTATGGATGGGATTACGTGGATTATGGATGGTATACATTGATTATGGATGGGATTACGTGGATCATGGATGGGATTACGTGGATTATGGATGGGATTACGTGGATCATGGATGGGATTACATTGATTATTGTTGGGATTATGTGGATTATTGTTGGGATTACGTGGATCATGGATGGGGATTACGTGGATCATGGATGGGATTATGTGGATCATGGATGGGATTACGTGGATTATTGATGGGATTACGTGGATTATTGATGGGATTACGTGGATTATTGATGGGATTACGTGGATTATGGATGGTATACATTGATTATGGATGGGATTACGTGGATTATGGATGGGATTACGTGGATTATGGATGGGATTACGTGGATCATGGATGGGATTACGTGGATTATGGATGGGATTACATTGATTATTGTTGGGATTATGTGGATCATGGATGGGATTACGTGGATCATGGATGGGATTACGTGGATTATGGATGGGATTACGTGGATTATGGATGGGATTACGTGGATCATGGATGGGATTACGTGGATCATGGATGGGATTACGTGGATTATTGATGGGATTACGTGGATCATGGATGGGATTACGTGGATCATGGATGGGATTACGTGGATCATGGATGGGATTACGTGGATCATGGATGGAATTACATGGATCATAGATGGGATTATGTGGATTATGGATGGTATACATTGATCATGGATGGGATTACGTGGATCATGGATGGGATTACGTGGATCATGGATGGGATTACGTGGATCATGGATGGGATTACGTGGATTATGGATGGGATTACGTGGATCATGGATGGGATTACGTGGATCATGGATGGGATTACGTGGATCATGGATGGGATTACGTGGATTATGGATGGGATATCAGTGTTCCGTCTGTCTCTTGCAGGGAGGATCCATTATCAGTGTCCATCGAATTTCATCCCGGTGTCAGAGTGTGACGGCTCGGTGACCTCTGAACCCGACACAGAGGTGTGGCTGATCCGAGCCCCCCCCCCCAGACTTCAGTCCGGAGAGGTAGGTGATCCCCATCTACACGTCAGTGTGACTCCCACCAATAGGGGCAGCACTGCTCTATTCCCATCGCTGACATGTCAGACCACCCACAGAGTGCTGGAAGAGTTCAGGCGGAGGTGTGGTCAGGGCTGTTCCTGGTGACCCCCAACCTGTGACTGTTCCTGGGGCCACCATGGTATAGGGGGCGGGACGTGTCCTGGGGGGGGGGGTCTTCCTTCACTTCCTGTCCTGGAAGATATCCCTGTTGTCTCTGGGACAGGTGACCCCACCCCCTATACCATGGTGGCCCCAGGAACAGTCACAGGTTGGGGGTCACCAGGAAAAGCCCTGACCACACCTCCGCCTGTCCTGGTTGACTCCACACACTGAGACAGTGGGGGGAGGGGGGGGGGGGGGGAGAGATATACTGATCATTGGGGGGATACAGGGGGGGATATACTGATAATAGGGGAGATACATGGGGGGGGATATACTGATAATAGGGGGGAGATACATGGGGGGGGATATACTGATAATAGAGGGGATACATGGGGGGGGATATACTGATAATAGGGGGGATACATGGGGGGGATATACTGATAATAGGGGGGATACATGGGGGGATATACTGATAATAGGGGGGATACATGGGGGGGAAACTGATAATAGGGGGGATACATTGGGGGGATATACTGATAATAGGGGGGATACATGGGGGGGGATATACTGATAATAGGGGGGATACATGGGGGGATATACTGATCATTGGGGGGATACATGGGGGGTATACTGATAATAGGGGGGATAACATGGGGGGGGATATACTGATAATAGGGGGGATACATGGGGGGGGGGATATACTGATAATAGGGGGGATACATGGGGGGGGAATATACTGATAATAGGGGGGATACATGGGGGGGATATACTGATAATAGAGGGGATACATGAGGGGGGAAAACTGATAATAGGGGGGATACATGGGGGGGGGATATACTGATAATAGGGGGGATACATGGGGGGATAGGAGATATACTGATAATAGGGGGGATACATGGGGGGGATATTCTGATAATAGAAGGGATACATGGGGGGGATATACTGATAATGGGGGGGGGGAAACTGATAATAAGGGGGATACATGGGGGGGGGATATACTGATAATAGGGGGGATACATGGGGGGGAAAACTGATAATAGGGGGGTTACATGGGGGGGATATACTGATAATAGGGGGGATACATGGGGGGGGGGATATACTGATAATAGGGGGGATACATGGGGGGGGATATACTGATAATAGGGGGGATACATGGGGGGGATATACTGATAATAGGGGGGATACATGGGGGGGATATACTGATAATAGAAGGGATACATGGGGGGGATATACTGATAATAGGGGGGATACATGGGGGGGGATATACTGATAATAGGGGGGATACATGGGGGGATATACTGATAATAGGGGGGATACATGGGGGGGGATATACTGATAATAGGGGGGATACATGGGGGGGATATACTGATAATAGGGGGGGATACATGGGGGGATATACTGATAATAGAGGGGATACATGGGTGGGATATACTGATAATAGAGGGGATACATGGGGGGGGGATATACTGATAATAGGGGGGATACATGGGGGGGGATATACTGATAATAGGGGGGATACATGGGGGGGGATATACTGATAATAGGGGGGATACATGGGGGGGATATACTGATAATAGGGGGGATACATGGGGGGGGGATTATACTGATAATAGGGGGGATACATGGGGGGGGGATATACTGATAATAGGGGGGATACATGGGGGGGGATATACTGATAATAGGGGGGATACATGGGGGGGATATACTGATAATAGGGGGGATACATGGGGGGATATACTGATAATAGGGGGGATACATGGGGGGGGATATACTGATAATAGGGGGGATACATGGGGGGTAAAACTGATAATAGGGGGGTTACATGGGGGGGGGGAAAACTGATAATAGGGGGGATACATGGGGGGGGAAAACTGATAATAGAAGGGATACATGGGGGGGGGGAAACTGATTAATGGGGGGGGTTACATGGGGGGGGGGATATACTGATAATAGGGGGGATACATGGGGGGATATACTAATAATAGGGGGGATACAATGGGGGGGATATACTGATAATAGAAGGGATACATGGGGGGGATATACTGATAATAGGGGGGATACAATGGGGGGGATATACTGATAATAGGGGGGATACATGGGGGGATATACTGATCATTGGGGGGATACATGGGGGGATATACTGATAATAGAGGGGATACATGGGGGGATATACTGATGATAGGGGGGATACATGGGGGGGATATACTGATAATAGGGGGGATACATGGGGGGGGAAACTGATAATAGGGGGGTTACATGGGGGGGGGATATACTGATAATAGGGGGGATACATGGGGGGGATATACTGATAATAGGGGGGATACATGGGGGGGATATACTGATAATAGAGGGGATACATGGGGGGATATACTGATGATAGGGGGGATACATGGGGGGGATATACTGATAATAGGGGGGATACATGGGGGGGGGAAACTGATAATAGGGGGGTTACATGGGGGGGGGATATACTGATAATAGGGGGGATACATGGGGGGGATATACTGATAATAGGGGGGATACATGGGGGGGATATACTGATAATAGGGGGGATACATGGGGGGGGATATACTGATAATAGGGGGGATACATGGGGGGGATATACTGATAATAGGGGGGATACATGGGGGGTATACTGATAATAGGGGGGATACATGGGGGGGATATACTGATCATTGGGGGGATACATGGGGGGGATATACTGATCATTGGGGGGATACATGGGGGGACATACTGATAATAGGGGGGATATACTGATAATAGAGGGGATACATGGGGGGATATACTGATAATAGGGGGGATACATGGGGGGGGATATACTGATAATAGGGATACAGGGGGGGGGATATACTGATAATAGGGGGGATACATGGGGGGGTATACTGATAATAGGGGGGAATACATGGGGGGGGTGACGGAGCGTAGGCAGGACAGAACGTACAGAGTAGATGTCAAACGGGTAAAGCTTTATTAGAACAGACGACAGTCACTTAATGGGGAGTAGTGCGGGAGAGAGAGTCTGAAACACTTGTAATGCAGCCCCGGGGGGGGGGGCAAAGGTAAAGTCTCCAAAGCAGTTCCTAAATAGTCAGGTATCCCCGGGGAAGCATACATTCACGCAGGGCTGGTGGAGTGGCCTCGGGCCGGGCTGGTGGAGTGGCCTCGGGCTGGTGCGGTGGCCTCGGGCTGGTGCGGTGGCCTCGGGCCGGGCTGTTGCGGTGGCCTCGGGCCGGGCCGTTGCGGTGGCCTCGGGCCGGGCCGTTGCGGTGGCCTCGGGCCGGGCCGTTGCGGTGGCCTCGGGCCGGGCCGGTGCGGTGGCCTCGGGCCGGGCCGGTGCGGTGGCCTCGGGCCGGGCCGGTGCGGTGGCCTCGGGCCGGGCCGGTGCGGTGGCCTCGGGCCGGTGGGGTGGCCATTGGGCTGGTGTGCGGTGGCCTCGGGCCGGGCTGGTGCGGTGGCCTCGGGCTGGTGCGGTGGCCTCGGGCCGATCTGATGTAGCTTCTGGGGTCCCCCCGCTCCAGTGGGGCTTAGGCAGAGTCTGGCCACTATCGCCCCACCGCAGCTGGGATCCATTAGTGATTGTACGCAGAATGGAACAACAGGAGTGACCAGCACTGGCCTCTTAAACCCCCTGAGCAGGATGAGAGGTGGGGGGGGGGGAGGGGGTCATTATCGGGTGACAATGAAGACACTGAAACAGGATAATTGGATTTGCAGCTGTAAACAGGGTAACGGTGGGGGGAATACATTAGTACAAAGGTAAGGCACTAATTAGGGATGTATACACTAACTGAATTTGGGACCTTTTGTGGGGGGCGAGTTAACTACAGCTCGGGGCCTTTGGCACACAGGAGTGAATACTGATTGGAGGAGGCTCTTCCTATGGCCAGGAGGGATTAATAAAGGAATTAATAACTGGGACTTGCAGAGACCCATATCTTGACAGGGGGGGATATACTGATAATAAGGGGGATACATGGGGGGGGGGGGGCAGGTATAGGGAAGGGTATATGGTTGGTGGGGGTCTTGCACATGTGACTCGGATCTAACCCTCCCCCTCCCCTGTATTGCAGCTTCAACTCTCACCGCTTCCCTCTCCCCGGCTACAAGATGCAGAAGGTGAAGTCTGACGGCAGGAGGAGATTCTGTCACGTCATCTCGTCGCCCTGCTCTGACGCCCCGTTCACACCCTTCCTGTGTCACCCCGAGGGCTGCGGGGCCAGGCTGCTTTGTGTTCCTTCATTCAAAGGCACCATGACAGTGGCAGAGGCCCATGGGGACCCCGACACTCTTCACAGTATCCCGGACAAGCCCCCCCTGACCATCCCCCCGGGGCTGAAGCAGAGGTTCCAGCCGTTTGGTTCTCTTCCACCCAGAGCTGCCGGCGGAGGAGACTCGCTGCTATCGGGGGGAACCGGAGAACGAAGAGAGCGAAGAAACGCAAACGGGAAAAAAAACAGGAAATTAACTGTAGTGGGGGTCGTGGTGACATCATCACTGGGGAGGGCGTCGTGGTGACATCATCACTGGGGAGGGCGTCGTGGTGACATCATCACTGGGGAGGGCGTCGTGGTGACATCATCACTGGGGAGGCAGGGGGACAGAAATCAATAAATCCTGTATTCATATACAAGTGTCCTGGCTGGTCTGTATTACCTCACCCGTCCACTAGATGGCTGGTCTATCACTGCAACTGTATCAGTGGGAGGAATAGTGCCCCATCATTGGTGTCAGTGGGAGGAATAGCGCCCCATCATTGGTGTCAGTGGGAGGAATAGTGCCCCATCATTGGTGTCAGTGGGAGGAATAGTGCCCCATCATTGGTGTCAGTGGGAGGAATAGCGCCCCATCATTGGTGTCAGTGGGAGGAATAGCGCCCCATCATTGGCGTCAGTGGGAGGAATAGTGCCCCATCATTGGTGTCAGTGGGAGGAATAGCGCCCCATCATTGGCGTCAGTGGGAGGAATAGTGCCCCATCATTGGTGTCAGTGGGAGGAATAGTGCCCCATCATTGGTGTCAGTGGGAGGAATAGTGCCCCATCATTGGTGTCGGGGAGGAATAGTGCCCCATCATTGGTGTCGGGGAGGAATAGTGCCCCATCATTGGCGTCAGTGGGAGGAATAGTGCCCCATCATTGGCGTCAGTGGGAGGAATAGTGCCCCATCATTGGTGTCAGTGGGAGGAATAGTGCCCCATCATTGGCGTCAGTGGGAGGAATAGTGCCCCATCATTGGCGTCAGTGGGAGAAATAGTGCCCCATCATTGGTATCAGTGGGAGGAATAGTGCCCCATCATTGGTGTCAGTGGGAGGAATAGTGCCCCATCATTGGTGTCAGTGGGAGGAATAGTGCCCCATCATTGGTGTCAGTGGGAGGAATAGTGCCCCATCATTGGTGTCGGGGAGGAATAGTGCCCCATCATTGGTGTCGGGGAGGAATAGTGCCCCATCATTGGCGTCAGTGGGAGGAATAGTGCCCCATCATTGGCGTCAGTGGGAGGAATAGTGCCCATCATTGGCGTCAGTGGGAGGAATAGTGTCCCATCATTGGTGTCAGTGGAAGGAATAGTGCCCCGTCAGTGGGAGGAATAGTGCCCCATCATTGGTGTCAGTGGGGGGAATAGTGTCCCATCATTGGTGTCAGTGGGAGGAATAGTGCCCATCATTGGCGTCAGTGGGAGGAATAGTGCCCCATCATTGGTGTCAGTGGGAGGAATAGTGCCCCATCATTGGTATCAGTGGGAGGAATAGCGCCCATCATTGGCGTCAGTGGGAGGAATAGTGCCCCATCATTGGTGTCAGTGGAGGAATAGTGCCCCATCATTGGTGTCAGTGGGGGGAATAGTGTCCCATCATTGGTGTCAGTGGGGGGAATAGTGTCCCATCATTGGTGTCAGTGGGAGGAATAGCGCCCATCATTGGTGTCAGTGGGGAGAATAGTTCCTCAAGGGCCGGATTTGGGATGCAGGTTGGAGCGCACTGTTCTAGATGGCTGGCCTGTATTGCTGCACCCGTCCCCTAGGTGTCATTCTTGGGTAGGATGTCGGGAGTCATGTGACCTCAGTAAACACTGCATTGATAAGTTTGTAAAAATAAACTTTATTGAGACGCTGTGAGCCAATCTCCGGCATACAGGAATGATAGAAGACATCTGATTGGCTATAAAACGTTCTATGTACATTGCGGGTGAGGCTCCTCCCCTGCGGGTAAGGCTCCGCCCCTTAGGGGTGGTCACAGTTCTCGGGGGGTCACCGTTCTACTTTCATCATACATTCCCTTCCTCGCATCCACATGCTGTGCTCCCTGATGATGTCACACTTTTCTCTGATGATGTCCTAGTTTCCTCGTCCCCTGATGACGTCATGGTGACCTCCTGGGATGTGGCGGGTTGAGGCGTGGTCTGTGCGATCCTGCGGTACCCCCCGCTCTGTTCCATGACTCTCTGTAGTCGCTCCCATCCCCCCTCCTCCCCTTGGAGGGCCCTTTCATACAGTCTGGTGTGGGCCCTCAGTTCCCGGACAGAGCGCTGCGTCTCCCGAGTCCGCCGCAGCAACGCCAGAGAGCGCAGCGAGACTTCCAGGAGGTGGGAGGCGGCTGGTCTGTTCATGGGGGGCGGGGCAGTGCCAGGCACTGGAGAGGGGGCGCGGCTAGGTGTGGGGGGAGGGGCCAGACGGGGAGCTATCCTGGGATAGGATCGAAGAATGGGAAGATAGGATGAAGGGGCGGGGCACTTCCGATGGCGGCGTGTGGGTGGCTGGAGGAGGAGGAGCCGAGGCTGCGAAGAACAAAATGGGGAGAAATCAGCAAATTCAGATCAATAAATGTGATATTCCCGTATATACATACTATACTATACACCCCTCCCCCCCGTATACAATGTATATACCGCACACCCCTCCCCCCCGTACACAATGTATATACTATACACCCCTCCCCCCCGTATACAATGTATATACTATACACCCCTCCCCCCCGTATATACTGTACACCCCTCCCCCCCGTGTATACTGTACACCCCTCCCCCCCCCCGTATACAATGTATATACTATACACCCCTCTCCCTCTGTATACATTGTATGTACACCCATCCCCCTCTATATACAATGGTTTGAGAAACACAATAATGCTTTTGAGGGGTTGACTTGGTCTCCAAATTTTTCCAGATCTCAATACAATCCAGCATCTGTGTGATGTGCTGGAAAAACAAGTCTGATCCATGGAGGCCCCGCCTCACATCTTAGAGTGTGTCCCATCCCCACAGCAGCTGTAAATAATCCCCAGTGTCACTTTCTTGGTGCTGGAAAGCGCCCCCGAAACCTCCATAGAAGTCGATGACGCTCGCTGACAGCACCTGCAGCATTTAAGGGGCTTTTATTCAGCTTTAGCATAGAGGTATTGAAGAAATTAGATATCCCAGGATGCACTGGGATCAGCAGAGCTGGAGGTTGCTACTGAGTGGGGGATCAGCAGAGCTGGGGGTTGCTACTGAGTGGGGGATCAGCAGAGCTGGGGGTTGCTGCTGAGTGGGGGATCAGCAGAGCTGGGGGTTTCTACTAAGCGGGGGATCAGCAGAGCTGGAGGTTGCTACTGAGTGGGGGATCAGCAGAGCTGGGGGTTGCTGCTGAGTGGGGGATCAGCAGAGCTGGGGGTTACTACTGAGTGAGAGGATCAGCAGAGCTGGGGGTTTCTACTAAGCGGGGGATCAGCAGAGCTGGGGGTTGCTACTAAGCGGGGGATCAGCAGAGCTGGGGGTTGCTACTGAGTGGGGGATCAGCAGAGCTGGGGGTTGCTACTGAGTGGGGGGATCAGCAGAGCTGGGGGTTGCTACTGAGCGGGGGATCAGCAGAGCTGGGGGTTGCTACTGAGCAAGGGATCAGCAGAGCTGGGGGATACTACTGAGAGGGGGATCAGCAGAGCTGGGGGATACTACTGAGAGGAGGATCAGCAGAGCTGGGGGATACTACTGAGAGGAGGATCAGCAGAGCTGGGGGATACTACTGAGAGGAGGATCAGCAGAGCTGGGGATACTACTGAGAGGAGGATCAGCAGAGCTGGGGATACTACTGAGCGGAGGATCGGCAGAGCTGGGGGATACTACTGAGTGGAGGATCAGCAGAGCTGGGGGTTGCCACTAAGCGGAGGATCAGCAGAGCTGGGGGTTGCCACTAAGCAGGGGATCAGCAGAGCTAGGAGTTACTACTGAGTGAGGGATCTGTAAAGCTGGGAGTCACTACTGAGTGGGGGATCAGCAGAGCTGGGAGTTACTAATAATTGGGTAATCAGCAGAGCTGGGGGTTGCCACTGAGCGGGAGGATCAGCAGAGGTGGGATTTACTACTGAGTGGGGGATCAGCAGAGCTGGGAGTTACTACTGAGTGGGGGATCAGCAGAGCTGGGATTTACTACTGAGTGGGGGATCAGCAGAGCTGGGGGTTGCCACTGAGCGAGGTGATCAGCAGAGCTGGGATTTACTACTGAGTGGGGGATAAGCAGAGCTGGGGGTTGCCACTCAGTGGGAGGATCAGAAGAGAAGGGAGTTACTACTGAATGGGGGATCAGAAGAGCTGGGGGTTGTCACTGAGTGGTGGATCAGCAGAGCTGGGGGTTGCCTCTGAGCAGGGGATCATCAGAGGTGGGAGTTACTACTGAATGGGGGATCTGCAGAGCTGGGGGTCACTACTGAGTGGGGGATCAGCAGAGCTGGGGGTTACTAATAATTGGGTGATCAGCAGAGCTGGGGTTTGCCACTGAGCGGGGTGATCAGCAGAGCTAGGGGTGGCCACTGAGTGGCAGGATCAGCAGAGCTTGGGGTTGCCACTGAGTGGGGGATCAGCAGAGCTGGGGGTTGCCACTGAGTGGGGGATCAGCAGAGCTGGGGGTTGCCACTGAGTGGGGGATCAGCAGAGCTGGGGGTTGCCACTGAGTGGGGGATCAGCAGAGCTTGGGGTTGCCACTGAGCGGGAGTATCAGCAGAGCTGGAGTATACTACTAAGTGGGGATCAACAGAGCTGGGAGTTACTTTACTGGGGGATCAGCAGAGCTGGAGGTTGCCACTGAGCGAGAGGATCAGCAGAGCTGGGGGTTCATACTGAGTGGGGGATCAGCAGAGCTGGGGGTTGCCACTAAGGGGATCAGCAGAGCTTGAAGTTATTAATGAGTGAGGGATCTGCAGAGCTGGGGGTCATTACTCAGTGGAGATCAGCAGAGCTGGGAGCCACTAATAATTGGGTGATCAGCAGAGCTGGGGGTTGCCACTGAGTGGGGGATTAGCAGAGCTGGGGGTTGCCACTGAGTGGGGGATCAGCAGAGCTGGGGGTTGCCACTGAGTGGGGGATCAGCAGAGCTGGGGGTTGCCACTGAGTGGGAGGATCAGCAGAGGTGGGATTTACTACTGAGTGGGGGATCAGCAGAGCTGGGAGTTACTACTGAGTGGGGGATCAGCAGAGCTGGGAGTTACTACTTAGTGGGGGATCAGCAGAGCTTGAGGTTGCCACTGAGCGAGGTGATCAGTAGAGCTGGGATTTACTACTGAGTGGGGGATAAGCAGAGCTGGGGGTTGCCTCTGAGCAGGGGATCAGCAGAGGTGGGAGTTACTACTGAATGGGGGATCTGCAGAGCTGGGGGGGTCACTACTGAGTGGGGGATCAGCAGAGCTGGGGGTTACTAATAATTGGGTGATCAGCAGAGCTGGGGTTTGCCACTGAGCGGGGTGATCAGCAGAGCTAGGGGTGGCCACTGAGTGGCAGGATCAGTAGAGCTTGGGGTTGCCACTGAGTGGGGGATCAGTAGAGCTGGGGGTTGCCAGGATCAGCAGGCTGGGGGTCAGCAGAGCTTGGGGTGCCTACTGAGTGGGGGATCAGCAGAGCTGGGGGTTGGTGGGGGATCAGCAGAGCTGGGGGTTGCCACTGAGTGGGGGGATCAGCAGAGTGGGGTTGCCACTGAGCGGGAGTATCAGCAGAGCTGGAGTATACTACTAAGTGGGGATCAACAGAGCTGGGAGTTACTGAGTGGGGGATCAGCAGAGCTGGAGGTTGCCACTGAGGGGAGGATCAGCAGAGCTGGGGGTTCATACTGAGTGGGGGATCAGCAGAGCTGGGGGTTGCCACTAAGGGGATCAGCAGAGCTTGAAGTTATTAATGAGTGGGGGATCTGCAGAGCTGGGGGTCATTACTCAGTGGAGATCAGCAGAGCTGGGAGCCACTAATAATTGGGTGATCAGCAGAGCTGGGGGTTGCCACTGAGTGGGGGATTAGCAGAGCTGGGGGTTGCCACTGAGTGGGGGATTAGCAGAGCTGGGGGTTGCCACTGAGTGGGGGATCAGCAGAGCTGGGGGTTGCCACTGAGTGGGGGATCAGCAGAGCTTTGGGCTGCCACTGAGCGGGAGGATCAGCAGAGCTGGAGGATACTACTGAGTGGGGGATCAGCAGAGCTGGGAGTTACTAGTGAGTGGGGGATCAGCAGGGCTCCGGGTTGCCACTCAGGGGAGGATCATAAGAGCAGGGGGTTACTAGTGAGTGGGGGATCAGCAGAGCTTGAGGCTGCCACTGAGTGGGGGATCAGCAGAGCTTGGAGTTACTACTGAGTGAGGGATCTTCAGAGCTGGGGGTCACTAAGTGGGGATCAGCAGAGCTGGGGGTCACTACTCAGTGGAGATCAGCAGAACTGGGAGTTACTAATAATTGGGTGATCAGCAGAGCTGGGGGTTGCCACTGAGCGGGAGGATCAGCAGAGCTGGTGGTTACTACTGCGTGGGGGATCAGCAGAGCTGGGGGTTACTACTGAGTGGGGGATCAGCAGAGCTGGGAATTACTACTGAGGGGGGGATCTGCAGTACTGGGGGTCACTACTGAGTGGGGGATCTGCAGAGCTGGGGGTTGCCACTGAGCGGGAGGATCAGCAGAGCTGGTGGTTACTACTGAGTGGGGGATCAGCAGAGCTGGGGGTTATACTGAGTGGGGGATCAGCAGAGCTGGGGGTTACTACTGAGTGGATAATCAGCAGGCTCTGAGCGGGAGGGAGGATTCAGGAGGGGTTACTACATTGAGCTACTAAGTGATCAGCAGAGCTGGTGGTTGCGACTGAGCGGGAGGATCAGCAGAGCTGGGGGTTATTACTGAGTGAGGAATCAGCATTGCTGGGAGTTACTACTGAGTGGGGAATCAGCAGAGCTGGGTGTCCATTGAGCAGGAGGATCAGCAGAGCTTGGGGTTACTACTGAGTGGGGGATCAGCAGAGCTTGGGGTTACTACTGAGTGGGGGATCAGCAGAGCTGGGGGTTGTCACTCAGTCGGAGGATCAAAAGAGCAGGGGGTTACTACTGAGGGGGGGATTAGCAGAGCTTGGGGTTGCCACTGAGTGGGGGATCAGCAGAGCTAGGGGTTGCCACTGAGTGGGGGATCAGCAGAGCTGGAGGTTCCCACACAGCGGAAGGATCAGAAGACCAGGGGGTTACTACTGAGTAGGGGAACAGCACAACTGGGGGTTGCCACTAAGCGGCAGGGTCAGCAGAGCTGGGGGTTGCCACTGAGTGGGGGATTAGCAGAGCTGGGGGTTGCCACTGAATGGGGGATTAGCAGAGTTGGGGGTTTCTACTGTGCAGGTAATCAGCAGAGCTGGGGGTTACTACTGAGTGGGGGATCAGCAGAGCTCTGGGTTTCCACTCCGCGGGGAGGATCAGAAGAGCAGGGGGTTACTTTTGAGTGGGGGATCAGCAGTGCTGGAGGTTGCCACTGAGTGGGGGATCAGCAGAGCTGAGAGTTATTACTGAGTGGGGGATCAGCAGAGCTGGGGGTTACTACTTAGTGGGGGATCAGCAGAGCTGGGGGTTTCTACTGAGTGGGGGATCAGCAGAGTTGGGGGTTACTACTTAGTGGTGGATCATCAGAGCTGTAGGGTACTAATGAGCAGGGATCTGCAGTGTGGGGGTATTACTGATTGGGGGTCAGCAGAGCTGGGGGGTACTAGTGAGCAGGGATCTGCAGTGTGGGGGTATTACTGAATGGGGGTCAGCAGAGCTGGGGGGTACTAGTGAGCAGGCATCTGCAGTGTGGGGGTACTACTGAATGGGGGTCAGCAGAGCTGGGGGGTACTAATGAGCAGGGATCTGCAGTGTGGGGGTACTACTGAGCCCCTGTAAGGGCATTTTCCAAGCGTATACAGATCCTGCTGCAGCTGAAGGCGCGTTGATGATGTAGAAGCGAGTGTGAAGAATGATGGGGGCGATACTTCCTGGACCCCCGTATTCCTCCGGTATCTTCAGGCAGGAATGGGGTCCCAGGAGATCCGGGAGAAGACTGAGCAGCTGAAAGCTCCTGAGATTAGACGAGGCTCTTGTATTGGACTGGAAGTGCCTCCTCAGGAGCCTTCCTACAATGATGGGACCTCGGCCCCGTGACTCGGAACACAAGGTAGGGTAAGTATAATACTAGACCCCCCCGTTGGGTTGTTGTTGTTGCATGTCTGCGTTCCTGGGGGGGGGGGGTTCCCCTTGTTTGCCAGGTGACCCGGACTAAACGTCGGGGAGAATTTTGTGTTGTGGGAATAGGGGGGAAACCTTTCAGTGGGGGACTCCTGCTCTGATGACAGCCGAGACGGGACTTCCCTCACTTAGTGAGAGTTCCTCTTACTTCCTGTTGTGTCATCGGTAGAGGAAATGAACAGAAATCTCACCAACGGGGCAGACGGCCACCCAACCTCTCCCTCCTCTGCTGTCAGGTGATGTTACCTGCCAGCTCCGCCTCCTCTCCTTACCTGTTTCAGTACGACATTTTGCAGTATATAGATGGGAGTATACGCCGTCTGCACCCTGGTTGTCCCCTGCGCTCCGGGTCCTGGCGCACGGACGCTGGTTGATCCATTGGTTTCCTCTGAGCTGAGGCTCTCTGAGCTGCTATCTGTGAGGGAACATCAAAGAACATCCATCAGACATCAGATCCTGGAGAGAGGAGGAGGGCGAGGAACATGGAACACGAGGAAGAGAGGATGACGGGAGGAAGGTCAAGGTTACTCTTCTGTTGGCCCAATTCTGGAGAAGGTCATCTCAGTCACCTGTCCTGCAAGACTCGTATCTTCAGCTCATTGAAACTAAACTGTTCACTGGGTTACCATCGAAGAAATCGGCAAAAAGCTCTAAAAACTAGAGGTGGAGAGAAGAAGGTGTGGTGGACGTTACTACTGGGGAGTACTGGGCCCCTGTAAATGGGCCCCTGTAAATGTGACTGTTGGGGGATTAGAGGAGACGTTGTGGTGGTGGAAGTGGAGACAGAGATGAACTGGAAAAGAGAGATGTCTCCTCTTCCTCCAAATTATTGTAGTGAAAACCAATGAATGGATGAAGGATTGCAGAGAGGAGACCCTGGGGGTGTCAGTGTTACTATCGGAGGTGTGGCAGTGGAGTGTTGGGCCCCATAAATGTGACTGGTGGGGGACTAGAGGAGGAGATGTGGTGGTACTGTGGACTACTGATTGAAGAATATCCTGACGTGACTTTGGTGGTACTATAGATGTTACTGAGGGAGGAGAAGGGATGGGGGTACTGTGGGAGGAGAAGGGATGGGGGTACTGTGGGAGGAGAAGGGATGGGGGTACTATAGATGTTACTGAGGGAGGAGAAGGGATGGGGGTACTGTGGGAGGAGAAGGGATGGGGGTACTATAGATGTTACTGTGGGAGGAGAAGGGATGGGGGGGTACTATAGATGTTACTGAGGGAGGAGAAGGGATGGGGGTACTATAGATGTTACTGTGGGAGGAGAAGGGATGGGGGTACTATAGATGTTACTGTGGGAGGAGAAGGGATGGGGGTACTGTGGGAGGAGAAGGGATGGGGGTACTGTGGGAGGAGAAGGGACGGGGTACTATAGATGTTACTGTGGGAGGAGAAGGGATGGGGGTACTATAGATGTTACTGAGGGAGGAGAAGGGATGGGGGACTATAGATGTTACTGTGGGAGGAGAAGGGATGGGGGTACTATAGATGTTACTGAGGGAGGAGAAGGGATGGGGTACTATAGATGTTACTGAGGGAGGAGAAGGGATGGGGGTACTATAGATGTTACTGAGGGAGGAGAAGGGATGGGGGTACTATAGATGTTACTGAGGGAGGAGAAGGGATGGGGGGTACTATAGATGTTACTGAGGGAGGAGAAGGGATGGGGGTACTATAGATGTTACTGAGGGAGGAGAAGGGATGGGGGTACTATAGATGTTACTGAGGGAGGAGAAGGGATGGGGGTACTATAGATGTTACTGTGGGAGGAGAAGGGATGGGGGTACTATAGATGTTACTGAGGGGGAGAAGGGATGGTGGTACTATAGATGTTACTGTGGGAGGAGAAGGGATGGGGGTACTATAGATGTTACTGAGGGAGGAGAAGGGATGGGGGTACTATAGATGTTACTGAGGGAGGAGAAGGGATGGGGGTACTATAGATGTTACTGAGGGAGGAGAAGGGATGGGGGTACTATAGATGTTACTGTGGGAGGAGAAGGGATGGGGGTACTATAGATGTTACTGAGGGAGGAGAAGGGATGGGGGTACTATAGATGTTACTGAGGGAGGAGAAGGGATGGGGGTACTATAGATGTTACTGTGGGAGGAGAAGGGATGGGGGTACTATAGATGTTACTGAGGGAGGAGAAGGGATGGGGGTACTATAGATGTTACTGAGGGAGGAGAAGGGATGGGGGTACTATAGATGTTACTGAGGGAGGAGAAGGGATGGGGGTACTATAGATGTTACTGAGGGAGGAGAAGGGATGGGGGGTACTATAGATGTTACTGAGGGAGGAGAAGGGATGGGGTACTATAGATGTTACTGTGGGAGGAGAAGGGATGGGGGTACTATAGATGTTACTGAGGGAGGAGAAGGGATGGGGTACTATAGATGTTACTGTGGGAGGAGAAGGGATGGGGGTACTATAGATGTTACTGAGGGAGGAGAAGGGATGGGGGTACTATGGGAGGAGAAGGGATGGGGGTACTGTGGGAGGAGAAGGGATGGGGGTACTATAGATGTTACTGAGGGAGGAGAAGGGATGGGGGTACTATAGATGTTACTGTGGGAGGAGAAGGGATGGGGGTACTATAGATGTTACTGAGGGAGGAGAAGGGATGGGGGTACTATAGATGTTACTGAGGGAGGAGAAGGGATGGGGGTACTATAGATGTTACTGTGGGAGGAGAAGGGATGGGGGTACTATAGATGTTACTGTGGGAGGAGAAGGGATGGGGGTACTATAGATGTTACTGAGGGAGGAGAAGGGATGGGGGTACTATAGATGTTACTGTGGGAGGAGAAGGGATGGGGTACTATAGATGTTACTGTGGGAGGAGAAGGGATGGGGGTACTATAGATGTTACTGAGGGAGGAGAAGGGATGGGGGTACTATAGATGTTACTGAGGGAGGAGAAGGGATGGGGGTACTATAGATGTTACTGTGGGAGGAGAAGGGATGGTGGTACTGTGGGAGAGAAGGGATGGGGGTACTATAGATGTTACTGAGGGAGGAGAAGGGATGGGGGTACTATAGATGTTACTGAGGGAGGAGAAGGGATGGTGGTACTATAGATGTTACTGTGGGAGGAGAAGGGATGGGGGTACTATAGATGTTACTGAGGGAGGAGAAGGGATGGGGGTACTATAGATGTTACTGAGGGAGGAGAAGGGATGGTGGTACTATAGATGTTACTGTGGGAGGAGAAGGGATGGTGGTACTATAGATGTTACTGTGGGAGGAGAAGGGATGGGGGTACTATAGATGTTACTGAGGGAGGAGAAGGGATGGGGGTACTATAGATGTTACTGTGGGAGGAGAAGGGATGGGGGTACTATAGATGTTACTGAGGGAGGAGAAGGGATGGTGGTACTATAGATGTTACTGTGGGAGGAGAAGGGATGGGGGTACTATAGATGTTACTGAGGGAGGAGAAGGGATGGGGGTACTATAGATGTTACTGAGGGAGGAGAAGGGATGGTGGTACTATAGATGTTACTGTGGGAGGAGAAGGGATGGTGGTACTATAGATGTTACTGTGGGAGGAGAAGGGATGGGGGTACTATAGATGTTACTGAGGGAGGAGAAGGGATGGGGGTACTATAGATGTTACTGTGGGAGGAGAAGGGATGGGGGTACTATAGATGTTACTGAGGGAGGAGAAGGGATGGGGGTACTATAGATGTTACTGTGGGAGGAGAAGGGATGGGGGGTACTATAGATGTTACTGTGGGAGGAGAAGGGATGGGGGTACTATAGATGTTACTGAGGGAGGAGAAGGGATGGGGGTACTATAGATGTTACTGAGGGAGGAGAAGGGATGGGGGTACTATAGATGTTACTGTGGGAGGAGAAGGGATGGGGGTACTATAGATGTTACTGAGGGAGGAGAAGGGATGGGGGTACTATAGATGTTACTGTGGGAGGAGAAGGGATGGGGGTACTATAGATGTTACTGTGGGAGGAGAAGGGATGGGGGTACTATAGATGTTACTGTGGGAGGAGAAGGGATGGGGGTACTATAGATGTTACTGTGGGAGGAGAAGGGATGGGGTACTATAGATGTTACTGTGGGAGGAGAAGGGATGGGGGTACTATAGATGTTACTGAGGGAGGAGAAGGGATGGGGGTACTATAGATGTTACTGAGGGAGGAGAAGGGATGGGGTACTATAGATGTTACTGAGGGAGGAGAAGGGATGGGGGTACTATAGATGTTACTGTGGGAGGAGAAGGGATGGGGGTACTATAGATGTTACTGTGGGAGGAGAAGGGATGGGGGTACTATAGATGTTACTACTGAGGGAGGAGAAGGGATGGGGGTACTATAGATGTTACTGTGGGAGGAGAAGGGATGGGGGGGTACTATAGATGTTACTGTGGAGGAGAAGGGATGGGGGTACTATAGATGTTACTGTGGGAGGAGAAGGGATGGGGGTACTATAGATGTTACTGAGGGAGGAGAAGGGATGGGGGTACTATAGATGTTACTGAGGGAGGAGAAGGGATGGGGGTACTATAGATGTTACTGTGGGAGGAGAAGGGATGGGGGTACTATAGATGTTACTGTGGGAGAGGAGAAGGGATGGGGGTACTATAGATGTTACTGAGGGAGGAGAAGGGATGGGGGTACTATAGATGTTACTGAGGGAGGAGAAGGGATGGGGGTACTATAGATGTTACTGAGGGAGGGAGAAGGGATGGGGGTACTATAGATGTTACTGTGGGAGGAGAAGGGATGGGGGTACTATAGATGTTACTGTGGGAGGAGAAGGGATGGGGGTACTATAGATGTTACTGAGGGAGGAGAAAGGGATGGGGGTACTATAGATGTTACTGTGGGAGGAGAAGGGATGGGGGTACTATAGATGTTACTGTGGGAGGAGAAGGGATGGGGGTACTTTAGATGTTACTGTGGGAGGAGAAGGGATGGGGGTACTATAGATGTTACTGAGGGAGGAGAAGGGATGGGGGTACTATAGATGTTACTGAGGGAGGAGAAGGGATGGGGGTACTATAGATGTTACTGTGGGAGGAGAAGGGATGGGGGTACTATAGATGTTACTGTGGGAGGAGAAGGGATGGGGGTACTATAGATGTTACTGAGGGAGGAGAAGGGATGGGGGTACTTAGATGTTACTGAGGGAGGAGAAGGGATGGGGGTACTATAGATGTTACTGAGGGAGGAGAAGGGATGGGGGTACTATAGATGTTACTGAGGGAGGAGAAGGGATGGGGGTACTATAGATGTTACTGTGGGAGGAGAAGGGATGGTGGTACTGTGGGAGGAGAAGGGATGGGGGTACTATAGATGTTACTGGGGAGGAGAAGGGATGGGGGTACTATAGATGTTACTGAGGGAGGAGAAGGGATGGGGTACTATAGATGTTACTGAGGGAGGAGAAGGGATGGGGGTACTATAGATGTTACTGTGGGAGGAGAAGGGATGGGGGTACTATAGATGTTACTGTGGGAGGAGAAGGGATGGGGGTACTATAGATGTTACTGAGGGAGGAGAAGGGATGGGGGTACTATAGATGTTACTGTGGGAGGAGAAGGGATGGGGGTACTATAGATGTTACTGAGGGAGGAGAAGGGATGGGGGTACTATAGATGTTACTGAGGGAGGAGAAGGGATGGGGGTACTATAGATGTTACTGAGGGAGGAGAAGGGATGGGGGTACTATAGATGTTACTGTGGGAGGAGAAGGGATGGGGGTACTATAGATGTTACTGAGGGAGGAGAAGGGATGGGGGTACTATAGATGTTACTGAGGGAGGAGAAGGGATGGGGGTACTATAGATGTTACTGAGGGAGGAGAAGGGATGGGGGTACTATAGATGTTACTGAGGGAAGAAGGGATGGGGGTACTATAGATGTTACTGAGGGAGGAGAAGGGATGGGGGTACTATAGATGTTACTGTGGGAGGAGAAGGGATGGGGGTACTATAGATGTTACTGAGGGAGGAGAAGGGATGGGGGTACTATAGATGTTACTGAGGGGAGGAGAAGGGATGGGGGTACTATAGATGTTACTGAGGGAGGAGAAGGGATGGGGGTACTATAGATGTTACTGTGGGAGGAGAAGGGATGGGGGTACTATAGATGTTACTGAGGGAGGAGAAGGGATGGGGGTACTATAGATGTTACTGTGGGAGGAGAAGGGATGGGGGTACTATAGATGTTACTGAGGGAGGAGAAGGGATGGGGGTACTATAGATGTTACTGAGGGGAGGAGAAGGGATGGGGGTACTATAGATGTTACTGTGGGGGAGGAGAAGGGATGGGGGTACTATAGATGTTACTGAGGGAGGAGAAGGGATGGGGGTACTATAGATGTTACTGTGGGAGGAGAAGGGATGGGGGTACTATAGATGTTACTGAGGGAGGAGAAGGGATGGGGGTACTATAGATGTTACTGAGGGAGGAGAAGGGATGGGGGTACTATAGATGTTACTGAGGGAGGAGAAGGGATGGGGGTACTATAGATGTTACTGAGGGAGGAGAAGGGATGGGGTACTATAGATGTTACTGAGAAGGGAGGTACTATAGAAGGGGGAGGGATGGGGTACTATAGATGTTACTGAGGGAGGAGAAGGGATGGGGGTACTATAGATGTTACTGTGGGAGGAGAAGGGATGGGGGTACTATAGATGTTACTGAGGGAGGAGAAGGGATGGGGGTACTATAGATGTTACTGAGGGAGGAGAAGGGATGGGGGTACTATAGATGTTACTGAGGGAGGAGAAGGGATGGGGTACTATAGATGTTACTGTGGGAGGAGAAGGGATGGGGGTACTATAGATGTTACTGTGGGAGGAGAAGGGGATGGGGGTACTATAGATGTTACTGACTGGGAGGAGAAGGGATGGGGGTACTATAGATGTTACTGAGGGAGGAGAAGGGATGGGGGTACTATAGATGTTACTGAGGGAGGAGAAGGGATGGGGGTACTATAGATGTTACTGTGGGAGGAGAAGGGATGGGGGTACTATAGATGTTACTGAGGGAGGAGAAGGGATGGGGGTACTATAGATGTTACTGAGGGGAGGAGAAGGGATGGGGTACTATAGATGTTACTGAGGGAGGAGAAGGGATGGGGGTACTATAGATGTTACTGAGGGAGGAGAAGGGATGGGGGTACTATAGATGTTACTGAGGGAGGAGAAGGGATGGGGGTACTATAGATGTTACTGTGGGAGGAGAGGATGGTGGAGGAGAAGGGATGGGGGTACTATAGATGTTACTGAGGGAGGAGAAGGGATGGGGGTACTATAGATGTTACTGAGGGAGGAGAAGGGATGGTGGTACTATAGATGTTACTGAGGGAGGAAGGGATGGGGGTACTATAGATGTTACTGGGAGGAGAAGGGATGGGAGTACTATAGATGTTACTGTGGGAGGAGAAGGGATGGGGGTACTATAGATGTTACTGAGGGAGGAGAAGGGATGGGGGTACTTTAGATGTTACTGTGGGAGGAGAAGGGATGGGGGTACTATAGATGTTACTGAGGGAGGAGAAGGGATGGGGGTACTATAGATGTTACTGAGGGAGGAGAAGGGATGGGGGTACTATAGATGTTACTGAGGGAGGAGAAGGGATGGGGGTACTATAGATGTTACTGTGGGAGGAGAAGGGATGGGGGTACTATAGATGTTACTGTTGGGAGGAGAAGGGACGGGGGTACTATAGATGTTACTGAGGGAGGAGAAGGGACGGGGGTACTATAGATGTTACTGAGGGAGGAGAAGGGATGGGGGTACTATAGATGTTACTGAGGGAGGAGAAGGGATGGGGGGGGTACTATAGATGTTACTGAGGGAGGAGAAGGGATGGGGGTACTATAGATGTTACTGTGGGAGGAGAAGGGATGGGGTACTATAGATGTTACTGAGGGAGGAGAAGGGATGGGGGTACTATAGATGTTACTGTGGGAGGAGAAGGGATGGGGGTACTATAGATGTTACTGAGGGAGGAGAAGGGATGGGGTACTATAGATGTTACTGTGGGAGGAGAAGGGATGGGGGTACTATAGATGTTACTGAGGGAGGAGAAGGGATGGGGGGTACTATAGATGTTACTGTGGGAGGAGAAGGGATGGGGGTACTATAGATGTTACTGAGGGAGGAGAAGGGATGGGGGTACTATAGATGTTACTGAGGGAGGAGAAGGGATGGGGGTACTATAGATGTTACTGTTGGGAGGAGAAGGGATGGGGTACTATAGATGTTACTGAGGGAGGAGAAGGGATGGGGGTACTATAGATGTTACTGTGGGAGGAGAAGGGATGGGGGTACTATAGATGTTACTGAGGGAGGAGAAGGGATGGGGTACTATAGATGTTACTGTGGGAGGAGAAGGGATGGTGGTACTATAGATGTTACTGAGGGAGGAGAAGGGATGGGGGTACTATAGATGTTACTGAGGGAGGAGAAGGGATGGTGGTACTATAGATGTTACTGTGGGAGGAGAAGGGATGGGGGTACTATAGATGTTACTGAGGAGGAGAAGGGATGGTGGTACTATAGATGTTACTGAGGGAGGAGAAGGGATGGGGTACTATAGATGTTACTGTGGGAGGAGAAGGGATGGGGGTACTATAGATGTTACTGAGGGAGGAGAGAAGGGATGGGGTACTATAGATGTTACTGTGGGAGGAGAAGGGATGGTGGTACTATAGATGTTACTGAGGGAGGAGAAGGGATGGGGGTACTATAGATGTTACTGAGGGAGGAGAAGGGATGGTGGTACTATAGATGTTACTGTGGGAGGAGAAGGGATGGGGGTACTATAGATGTTACTGAGGGAGGAGAAGGGATGGTGGTACTATAGATGTTACTGAGGGAGGAGAAGGGATGGGGGTACTATAGATGTTACTGAGGGAGGAGAAGGGATGGGGTACTATAGATGTTACTGAGGGAGGAGAAGGGATGGGGGTACTATAGTTGTTACTGTGGGAGGAGAAGGGATGGGGGTACTGAGGGAGGAGAAGGGATGGGGGTACTATAGATGTTACTGAGGGAGGAGAAGGGATGGGGGTACTATAGATGTTCCTGTGGGAGGAGAAGGGATGGGGGTACTATAGTTGTTACTGTGGGAGGAGAAGGGATGGGGGTACTGAGGGAGGAGAAGGGATGGGGGTACTATAGATGTTCCTGTGGGAGGAGAAGGGATGGGGGTACTATAGATGTTTCCTGTGGGAGGAGAAGGGATGGGGGTACTTTATATCTTCGTGTTGGGTGATTGGAGGAGAGGGGGATGGTTTAGGTGTGAGTACTGAGGAGATTTGGTTGGACTGTTGATGTTCTCCTTGGAGAAGACGTCGTTATTCTTTATGTTCTACAGACAGAGGAGTGATTTAGGTCAAGAAGTGGTCATCTACCTGAATACCCAGAATCCTTTTCGCTTTCACTTTGCACCTGAGATTTCACACTGGGCTTCTCCTCCGCCTCGTTCTCGTCGTGTTTTTCTTCTTTGGGGGGTCCAATCTCAGGTGGAGGGGATTTCATGGCTGCTGTTTAGAGAGAACAAGTGAAAGCAGAGACATCCATCCAGACTCTTCAATCAAGAGACAATCTAGGCTGCGGGATTCAGTCTGTGGGGCAGAAACAAACGGAAATCGTAATGACTCTCCCAACGGCTCATGTTCATCGACTCATTTCTAGGCCTCTCTGTAGACCAACCCAGATCTGGCTGTATGGCTGCCGAACTTCAGACTTTATCCTGCTTCTCATCAATCACCAGTGAAGGTACATGTATGTTCTTGGCGTGTCCAGACCATGTTCTGCTCGTGTTATAGGGAGGACTCTCAGCAGTTGTATGTGTGTTTGGGGTATGATGGGCGGTTGGTGGCGACAATGAATGCGACTTGTCAGCCATTTACTATGGAAGCACCTCATCTACACTCACAGCTGAGAAAAGAAGTTCAAAGTTCATAACCAAAAAAAAAAAAACAAAATAGAAACCAGACAAAATGAGAAACCCCAGAAACCTGACAGGACGTGTCTGAGAGGACCTCCTGAAACCAGAGGGTGAGCACCATAGGGACAGCCCTGCACCCTGACTACAGAAAGATCCATCCATCCATCTACCCATCCATCCATCCATCTGCCCATCCATCCATCCCTCCATCTAACCATCCATCCATCTACCCATCCATCCATCCATCTACCCATCCATCCATCCACTCATCTATCCATCCATCCATCTACCCATCCATCTACCCATCCATCCATCCCTCCATCTACCCATCCATCCCTCCATCTAACCATCCATCCATCTACCCATCCATCCCTCCATCTACACATCCATCCATCCATCTTTCCATCCATCTACCCATTCATGTATCTACCCATCTATCCATCCATCCATCCATCCATCCATCCATCTACCCATCCATCCATCCATCTACCCATCCATCCATCCCTCCATCCATCCATCTACACCCATTCCATCCATCTACCTATCCATCTTTCCATCCATCCATCCACCCATCTCATCTATCCATCCATCTACCCATCCATCCATCCATCTACCCATCCATCCATCTACCCATCCATCCATCCCTCCATCTAACCATCCATCCATCTACCCATCCATCCATCCCTCCATCTACCCATCCATCCCTCCATCTAACCATCCATTCATCTACCCATCCATCCCTCCATCTAACCATCCATCCATCTTTCCATCCATCCATCCACTCATCTATCCATCCATCCATCTACACATCCATCCATCTTTCCATCCATCTACCCATTCATGTATCTACCCATCCATCCATCTCCCCATCCATCCATCTACCCATCCATCCATCCATCCATCCATCCATCCATCCATCCATCCATCTACCTATCCATCTTTCCATCCATCCACTCATCCATCTACCCATCCATTCATCTTTCCATCCATCTACCCATCCATCCATCTCTCCATCCATCCATCTACCCATCCATCCATCTACCCATCCATCCATCCATCTACCCATCCATCCATCCATCCATCTACCCATCCATCCATCCATCCATCCATCTACCTATCCATCCATCTATCCATCCATCTACCCATCCATCTTTCCATCCATCTTTCCATCCATCCATTCATGTATCTACCCATCCATCCATCTCCCCATCCATCCATCTACCCATCCATCCATCCATCCATCCATCCATCTACCTATCCATCTTTCCATCCATCCACTCATCCATCTACCCATCCATTCATCTTTCCATCCATCTACCCATCCATCCATCTCTCCATCCATCCATCCATCTACCCATCCATCCATCCATCCATCTACCCATCCATCCATCCATCCATCCATCCATCCATCCATCCATCTACCTATCCATCCATCTATCCATCCATCTACCCATCCATCTTTCCATCCATCTTTCCATCCATCCATTCATGTATCCATCCATCCATGTATCCATCCATCTATCCAACCATCTATCCATCCATCTCTCCACCCATCCATCCATGTCTCTATCCATCCATCTATCCATCCATATTCTATCCATCCATCTATCCATCCATCCATCCATCCCTCTATCCATCCCTCCATCCCTCCATCCATCCATCCATCCGACATTAGGGTCTCCTGTATGTTGCCACCCACAACTGGTGCTCCACAGAAGATACAAGATAAAGCCTATAGTGGGCTATATGAACAAATATCTGAATACTCCTCCAAAAGACTAAATATTTCCAGCGAAGGGTCCTACTATTCCTCCTCCATACACAGGCTGAGTACAAAGCCAGCTCCATAAAGACACGGTTTGACTAGTTTGGGGTGGAGGAACTTGAGTGACCTGCCCAGAGCCCCGACCTCAACCCTATTGAACACCATTGGGATGAATTGGAACACCAATGGTGAGCCAAGTCATCTCATCCAACCTCAGTACCCGACCCGATCACAGAGAAGAGCTTCATTGGTCGTTCCCCCTCTCCTGTATATCTGAAAGTCCTTTAGGACCCAGAGATCTCCCTCCCGTAGCATGCCGTGCTGCCATACAGTATTCTAGTTGGTTCTCCTCCTCCCTCATATGTACCATTGTGTGACTCACCCTCTTCCTTCTTTGGACCTTCACCGACGTCCTCCTGCTGCTCTTCTTCAGTCTCTGTAGCTCCTTGTGGAAGGGATTCCTCAGAATGATCTACCTCCGTCTTCTCTCTAGGTATGAGTGTGGAAGGTGGACTTGTTTGGGTACAGTAGTCGCCTCCCATTGTACAGTACAGACTGTGATTGCCTGGGGTGGGTATGAGTAACACGGTGTACTGTACGCGCTGTGCGCTCCGCCCTGTACAGTGAACACACGTGGAGTCACATTCCTCTCCCCCACATGGAGGACTGTCTGTGGGTTTATCCAGCTTTTATCTATTTGTCATCGTCTTCTGCCAACCAATAAACCGTCTGACCTTCGCTGCGCTCTTGCTGGCTGGGTTGGTGCAGAATGCAGTACGGCATGTTCTAGTGTTGGACGGGCAGCTCATGGCCATGGAAAGGGAATCTCCAGCAGATACAAGAAGCTGAACTCCCTCAGGAGAAGACTGTCATTTCTGTGGCTTTAGATGTGTACGTTCCATTGGACGTGGCCAGTAAGAACCGTCACTCTGTTTCTGCAACCAAGGATCCCTATGGTGGTGTGTCAGCTTTGTGAAGTCAACCAAAAATCCCGGGACGTTCACCAAGACCCCCGAATACCACTAGTGACCCCCAGAATGGACACCTCTCTGTCCACGGCCAAGAAAGTGTAACTTAGGAACAGAAGAACTCCTCTGACTGTCATCAGTTGGGTAGATGGTTGTCCATGGTCAGAGCTCTTCCTATACAGAAGTGTTCTCCTCAGCTCTAAATGAGCCACCAGACAGCTGAGATGGTTCACTATTGGTCTCCCGGCCTCCCCCTACACCCTCAGAATGGACACCTCTCTGTCCACGGCCAAGAAAGTGTAAATTAGGAACAGAACTCCTCTGACTGCCATCAGTTGGGTAGATGGTTGTCCATGGTCGGGGCTCATCCTATACAGAAGTGTTCTCCTCAGCTCTAAATGAGCCATCAGACAGCTGAGATGGTTCACTATTGGTCTCCCGGCCTCCCCCTACACCCTCAGAATGGACACCTTTCTGTCCACGGCCAAGAAAGTGTAACTTAGGAACAGAAGAACTCCTCTGACTGTCATCAGTTGGGTAGATGGTTGTCCATGGTCGGGGCTCATCCTATACAGAAGTGTTCTCCTCAGCTCTAAATGAGCCACCAGACAGCTGAGATGGTTCACTATTGGCCTCCCGGCCTCCCCCTACACCCTCAGAATGGACACCTCTCTGTCCACGGCCAAGAAAGTGTAACTTAGGAACAGAAGAACTCCTCTGACTGTCATCAGTTGGGTAGATGGTTGTCCATGGTCGGGGCTCATCCTATACAGAAGTGTTCTCCTCAGCTCTAAATGAGCCATCAGACAGCTGAGATGGTTCACTATTGGTCTCCCGGCCTCCCCCTACACCCTCAGAATGGACACCTCTCTGTCCACGGCCAAGAAAGTGTAACTTAGGAACAGAACTCCTCTGACTGCCATCAGTTGGGTAGATGGTTGTCCATGGTCGGGGCTCATCCTATACAGAAGTGTTCTCCTCAGCTATAAATGAGCCACCAGACAGCTGAGATGGTTCACTATTGGTCTCCCGGCCTCCCCCTACACCCTCAGAATGGACACCTCTCTGTCCACGGCCAAGAAAGTGTAACTTAGGAACAGAAGAACTCTGACTGTCATCAGTTGGGTAGATGGTTGTCCATGGTCAGAGCTCATCCTATACAGAAGTGTTCTCCTCAGCTCTCAATGAGCCACCAGACAGCTGAGATGGTTCACTATTGGTCTCCCGGCCTCCCCCTACACCCTCAGAATGGACACCTCTCTGTCCACGGCCAAGAAAGTGTAACTTAGGAACAGAAGAACTCCTCTGACTGTCATCAGTTGGGTAGATGGTTGTCCATGGTCGGGGCTCATCCTATACAGAAGTGTTCTCCTCAGCTCTAAATGAGCCACCAGACAGCTGAGATGGTTCACTATTGATCTCTCGCCCTCCCCCTACACCCTCAGGGCCCTCAGCTTCCAGTCTTCTACCCAATGGGCTCATCCAATGGTCCTCATGACATGAGTGGAGTTATCTTCAAATGTACGGGGAGCCAATACGATTTCTTAAATTTGGTTGGAGTTTGAAAAGAACCCCTTTCAGGTTTTTACTGCTATCCGGGGCTTCATTGAAGAGAATTCTCCTCACTTCCTGTCCTGCGGACAACGTTTGACCAGACGAGAAGTGAGGGGAAATCTCCAACAGCAACTGAGGCAGAAGAAACAATTCATTTCTGGAATAGGAGAAGTTCAGAACCCCTGTCAGGCTTTTATTTCCTTCTGTGATTCCCCATCACTTCCTCACTTCTCTATATATAGAGACCCCTATACTGACCCCCTATATAGAGACCCCTATATAGAGACCCCCCCATACTGAC